TTTACGCAGAGGATTCAGAGGATCACCACGGATCGGATTCCAGCGGCAAAAGGACCGGAGTCACGGCTGTGTTTGGGTTTTGGGCTGCGCTCTCAAATCACATTTTAAAGGAGAAATGTCATATATGTGTGGTAATTAGAAAGCTATCCGTAGGTCACAACAACCCGATTGTGTATCTGCTACAATTGTGTATCTGCTACAATTGTGTATCTCCTACAATTGTGTATCTCCTACAATTGTGTATCTGCTACAATTGTGTATCTCCTACAATTGTGTATCTCCTACAATTGTGTATCTCCTACAATTGTGTATCTGCTACAATTGTGTATCTCCTACAATTGTGTATCTGCTACAATTGTGTATCTCCTACAATTGTGTATCTGCTACAATTGTGTATCTGCTACAATTGTGTATCTGCTACAATTGTGTATCTGCTACAATTGTGTATCTCCTGTGTATCTGCTACAATTGTGTATCTCCTACAATTGTGTATCTGCTACAATTGTGTATCTGCTACGATTGTGTATCTGCTACGATTGTGTTATGATCTTTTGATGTTTCTAGATTTGATAGTATGTCTTTCGGTGTGTGACGAAAGCCATAATTATCCACAGTATAACAAATAAAAGTTTGATAAATCTTACTATTTATCAAATCTCCGTTATTATTAGCTTCACAATGTAAGTTTAAGTAAATAGACTTTTGAAAGTAAATACGTTGTACTTTTGAAGGTTTAAACGCTCTGATTTTGAGTTTCCAAGGTAAAAGCAGTTTTGTAATAGTATGATGTCATAGTATGATGTCATTGTACCACTATGACATCATACGCTTATAAAACAAAAGTATTGCCCCCAAGTTAGTTTGGGCCATTTCTCAGGTAAAAAGGATGTTCTACTAAATCGCATGCAGCCGGTATTTTTCCAACATGTAAAAACTTCCACTCCTCCCTCTGGTGGCGGCTTAGGGAGTTACAGACAGAAAGCATTACTTACTTTTACTTACTACTCGTTTCTCAACATATTTTATACTCAAGCTATTAGTTAACCTTCCAAAACATGAAGAATGTTTGTATGTTTTACAATGTTTTATAATTTGAATGGCCGAACAAAAAATTAAATGAAAAATCAAAAATGCATAATATGTGTTCTTTAAATGAGCCAAAACAAAACATAATTTGCAGACGTGAAATTGTTTTTCCTCACGATCCTCTTTGGAGCCGGTCATTTTTACAGAGCCATAAAAGCCTTCTCCACAGAACTATACGTTTGTGTTTAAGCAGAAGTCTCATTAAAGCCTCTTAAACGGCTCGGTAATGAAAGAAACTGTGCTTTTAACCAACAGGGATGAAACGTTTACTCAAAGTCTTATTCTGAATGAACTAAAAACACACTGTTAGGATTTACAGAGAGAGCCCCAAACGTACAGACAGAGACTGGAGAAGTTATTAACGGCTTATTAAACGAGCGCGAGGTCTGTGCAGAGAAATATCAGATATCAGCGGCCTTTTTGTACAGACCGAGCAAGCTTAAGGTTAATAAATGTTTTATTATATGACTCTTTTTCATTTGTGCAAATATCGATCGGTTTCAACTAAAAACACATTTGACCAAAGTGTCAAACTGAGACATGAAGAACTGATCAGAGGATTGAGGCGCCCGCTGTAAGTTCTCAGTCTGTGTTTTTGCCGATGCTTTTTACATATTTGTGAATGCATTTATTGTGCAATGTCTCTGTCAAATAAACACATAAAATAATATAAATAATTAAACTGTCATGAGTCAATGAGACGTCAACATTTGCTCGACCTTCACACACGACTTTCCCCCGACAGAACGCTCTGACCACAGGGTTAGTGTTACCTGTGGAAACATGATTCTAGTGGTTATTAAGTAAAACTGTGGTTCTTTTTGAAGGAGGACACTGATCTGTTCAGGGAGACACAGAGAGACACAGAGAGACGCTAAAGGTCGAGACTCAGGAGGAACGGGGACCGAGCCTTCTGTGTCCGGGCTCCTCTGCTTTGGAACCAGCTGCCCGAGGATCTAAGGCACCATCAGAGCTTTTAACTGTTAGTTTTAAACTAACTATTGCTATACAAATAGAGATTATTATTATTATATAAGCTACAATGTACAATGATGACCCTGGAAATGAACGGGCAGAGAGGTCGTCCAAACGTTCTCTTAATAAACCTCCTTCTTCCAAGTATCCAGCCTGGTGTTCCTCGCATTCTCACAGACCAACCACTTAGAGACAGGTTGGGTTTGGGTTAGGACCACGACTTCATCCCCTTTATTAGTCTGGGTCGAGGATGCAGCGATCAGAGCTGCCACTGATCCTCCTGCAGGTGGACCACAGTCTAATGGTCTTTCAGTGGGGGCTCAGGGCACAATGGGGTTTAGTGTTTTGCTCAGGGGCACAATGACAGCAGACCTCAGTGGGCGTAGATTGAGTGGGTTTCGTGGGGGATCACACCCCCATAAGAGACTTGCCCATAAAG